CTGCCAGATTTGTTGGGAGTGTTTTTTTTTGTTTTTCCAATTCTAAGCCCTACTTTATACCCGGAAGACCTGCAGGTCTTGGAGTACATATCAGAAATTATGCTATACGGTCTAGATTTATGAGAGGTCTTTTGGATTTGAGGTAAACCCTATTCAGCGTTTGCCAGGCCATGGATGAGCCCTTACCGGCAGGCTGCGAGCACGTGAGGCACACTCGTGCTACCAATGCTAGTTTAGTGTTTACGGTTTAGGGTTTGAAGCTTGAAGATTGTTATCCTTTGGGTTAGGCTCCTCAGGAATAGTGGTGTAGTAGGAAAATATAGGGGCTCCCAAAATAATTACCATTACCCCTTGTGATCACCAGTATGGGGTGGGGGCCCAACGGAAACTATGCTAGAGGTCCGCTTTAGAAGCTTCATGGGGGAAGTACCCAGAAAGCCCAATATCCCTTCACTGGAGAATATGTTCCCGCGTGATGTAAGGATCCCGAATATGATTCAAGGAATATTCTTCAGTAAAAGGATCCCGGCCTCCTTGGGTGAATGGGCATGGCCACAAGGAGGGGCACCTAGTGTTTCCCTTCCCTTCCCCCGCGTTTGTTTGTTTGGGGTGCGGGCTTTAGGACTTTTTGTCAGGACTGCCAAAAGGTATACCCTCGTTTAGGAACATTTTGGCATCTCGCCGGATTAGCAGGCGTAAGAGGGGGTGGTAAAGTTCACGGTCATTTTGTGGGGTCTCCATGCTGGGATCAGACTACCATGCGGCACTGCGCTAGCCTTTATAAGGCGCTTATCATTTTCTATAACCATTGCCTAACCACATTTCCCCTGACCACATTCTGCGTAAACCCCAAACCTTTTAGGCCCCGACGTTATGAGGGAGTTGCCAGGCCATCTGCTGTGTTTTCTGCCTTCCTACTTTGTTTCCCACAGGTGTGTTGAGTAAGCCCCCTTTTTTCTTTTCGGAGTCCTAAGTTTGTGTAAAGTAAGCTATATTCAACAAATAGCCTTAGGTTACTGGTGATCGTAGTTGAGGGTTGAGGTTTACTGTCGGCATGTGGAAGTCTAGCTACTCCTGGAACCAGGGGTGTCGCATACAGGGTTTGTTGTATTATGGGTTCTCCTAGCCCCCCCGCAACCCACACTGCTCCCCCTAGGTTGCACGTGAATAAATTAACGTCCTTGATTGCAGGGGTTGCTCAGAGGGTCGTGATTAGGCTAGGCAACCCGCTGCCCATTGCTTTTGATATCAACTCATGCACAGAGAGATTGGGAGCTACAGAAGGCGGTTTATGTGAGGTTGGGAGTACCGGCATGTCATTGGTGCTGAGTAGCTATTGTTATATCTTGTTGTTTTCATAATGATGATAAGTAGTTTCTAGTCAGTATTGTTGACTAGCACCATTATGACGGTGTCTTGGCACAATTAGCAGTATTACTTTCATTGCCAGCTTTAGTATTGGTACTTTCCCCCAAAAAGAGGGACTCTTAGTATAGACCCCAATGTACGATAGTCCGTAATATAGGAACCCCAAAAAAGGGGCGCCTTAATTTTGGGAAACTCCCACTATTATTAGACGTGCTATGATTTCGTTCATTACCTTTACTTGGATTCTGGGATCCACTGCGTTGAAGCTGCTTGAATTCAGATGAGAACGCAAGGTTTACAGTAAGGTTTGGGGATTAGGGTTGAGGGTTCAGGGTGTAGAAGACACAGCATCTTTGATCAGACATGAGCCCATGATTAAAAAATTGCCGGGTGCAGCTGCGTAGGGATCCGAAGAAATTGTCCCTTAGCCCCAAACCCTAAAACCCTAAACCTTTAGGGATCCGAAGAAGTGATCTGCTTCATGAGCCAGACCATGACCTACTGGGTTGCTGTTAAGGAACTTAAGTTCAGTTACTATGTTGGGGAAACCCAACAATATCTGCCCGTGATGGCAGCCCTAAAACCTAAACTCCACAGAAGCTCTACCTTCCCCTAAACCCTGAACCCTACACCCTAAACCCTGAACCCTAAACCCTGAACCCTAAACCCTCTACCCGGGCAGCCGCACACGGCTTGCGTGCTTGGGGTTTAGGGTTCTGCACCTTGGGTGCCCTACCCTTCTTGGGATATGACTTATGTGGTCTAGGGTTTAGGGTATATAGGGTTTCGGGTTTAGGGTAGAGGGCTTCGTGTTTAGGGTTTAGGGTATATGGGGTTAGGGTTTAGGATGTAGGGTTTAGGATTCAGGGCGGGTGCCCTACTTTTCTTGGGATATGACCCAGAGGGTTCAAGTACCCAACATTAAGCTACTGGGGTTTAGGGTGAACAGCAACTGTTGCGGTTGTGGGGAAGTATTTGATTATTGGGTACTTGGACCCTTCGGGTAAGAAATGTACAACATCCCCCTCCCGAAAAAGTGAGAAAACAAAGAGTACATCCGGGATTCAGGTTGGGAAGGTCTTGAACCCTGGTAACCTGCAAACCGATATGTGATCAAACAAAGTTAGGTTGGGGGGATGTCCACGGGGTATAGGGGGACCTATGAAGCAATATACTAGCAATTTAGTTGCGGGGTCATGCGGGTGAAGGCAAGAGCGGAACTTGCCAAAGATGTTCAGGCACGGTGGAGGATTTAGGGTTGTGATATTTATCCGACTGTTGTAAATGCTTCCTGAGACCTCTGCCTTTACTTAGACCAGAAAAAGGCGTGGTGCTGGCATGCATTGCCTGGTCTACGAGTCCATCTGGCATGTCATGCCGTGCCCTCAGGATTCTCTCGTTTTTTCGTGAGTTCCACGGGGAAGCACGATTCATGCGTCAAAGTTGAACCTTTCGTAGCCTCAACTTGGGTGCTTTTATGAGGAAGTTGGAGAAGGATCCCATCAAAATTTCAGGGTTTGTTGAAGTGGCACGTCTGTTCGAATGGCTTGGAGTAAACTTATGAACTGTAGGGCGGCTGCAGAACACAGACCGCGACCCGAAAGCCCACAAAGTTTGGAGTACCCAGCCAACATCTTACTCGGACTTTGTAGGGAACAGGGGAGTATATTATATAGGGATTACATAGGGATTGTATTCCTTATACCCTACTAACCACCAGCATGACATTCTCAGAACAGTCATGCTGTGCGACAGCCTGATGTTGCATAGATGTTGGCAGAAGCTGGTACTGCGATGCGCTGCCAGCTTTTCAACCATGCAGTACATGCTTGGCTATCCTTGAAAACGAAAAATGTTAGCATGCACACTTGCGCAACGCAATCTCAGTGTTGATTGTGGGGTGCTTGAGAAGCTGCAGCGCATCTTCTTTTGCCACAGGATGGAATGTTCTTCTGATTGTAGGCAGTACCTCTGCTTGATGCTGAGGTGTATTTGTTCGATGCGGGGTACAAAACCTGTCCACACCGCTTGCACATCTCATATCAGTTCCCGCATAGCTGCGCATGCTGGCATGCCAGTCAGCGCAAAGTGTTCTGCAGGACCATTTGCCTCCGTGGTTGGCTTTGATACGAGAATCTGTCTAAGGCCTAAATAATCTCTAGAATCCCTGTGATTTCCATGTTCTTTCCATTATCCCTATATTCATATATAGCCCCAATATATTACAGTAGTTTCCATTCTGTTTTCCATCATCCCTATATAACCCTAATGGTTCCTAAACCCTATATTGTGGCTGTAAGCATGAAGGAAACTTTCTTGTTCCGAGCATGCATACGAGGTTGTTGCCAACAGCTGTTTCTAAGGGTGCAAGGACCCGAAGAACAGGATTTAAGGGCCCCAATACTATGTACGTTATAGTACTTAAGCCCTAAAGCCCTATTATTTGGGTGTTTGGACCCTTATGTAGTCCCCATATATCCCTATAAATCCCCCTATAACCCCTTTAAAGGGACCCTAGTTATTTGGGTCTTGGGACCCTCAGGGTGCCATGCTTGCTGTTTTCTGCTCCCCGTGTATAGCACAGTAGACGCGGTTAGTGCAGCTTTTCATGCGTGGTGGCGGCACCGATTCAGCCACGTGCTTTGAATAAGCATGTGCCAAACAGGGTTAGGGTTTAGGGTTTAGGTTTTGTTTCCTAGTCACCCTGCTATCCGAGCCCGGAACTGAATCCAGACTCTCGCACACGCCCACCCTAAGGGTCCAAGTACTGGATAAACATACATTTACCCAAAACCTGTACTACAATTACCATTACCCAAATCCCAACTACCTGATTATTGGATATGCTAGAACTTCTGTTGTTGATGTACGGCTGGGTAGCAATCCCAATGTCTCGGTGATAATGCAAAAAGGATCCCCAACAGCCATAATCATAAGGCACAAAGCTGCCAAGCCCCTAAACACGAGTGGGGCTCGTAACAGAAACCCTAGACCCTAAACCCTGAGGTTGTCAAAGTTGTGGTCCTGTCTGGGTACCCCACATATTATTAGGGGCCTTGCTATAATGCGGACCCCAAAGGGGATCATGGATTTAACTGACTTAAGAAGATACCATGCAAAACGCCCTGTAGAACTATTTTGTAGTTTTATAGGCCCCTACAGCCGGCCCCACAATTTCATGGTAGTACGTATTTACCATCCCCACATTCCCTGAACAGGCTTAGACTGTCTTGATCTTAAGGAAGATGTGGCGGCTGAAGGCTTTCACTCAAAGCTTGCCATTGCCCGTCTCTGGGCTGCTGTTAAGTAACTTGAGTTGCGATTTAGGGTTTGGGGTATCGAAAATGGAGAGCCGCCGGAAAGCCGCTGGAACCATCAAATTGGAGACTGGGGTCAGAGAGGGCGCTAAGGAACTTGAAGCCAAGTTACCGCAAACAGGAAGCCCTGCTTTATTCAAGATATCTGCACATACTGTGGTAACCTGATATAAGTTCCTTGGATCCCTACATGGTGCCAATAGAACCGCAGCTCCCATTTCATGTTCCAGTTTCTATGACACTCGATTCTGCATGATAGCGCCCGAAACCTAAACCCCAAAATTGAAGTTCCTGAACAACAGCCCAGGTCTTGGCATGGATGCTTATGGCACTTCAGGGGTGTGAGGAGCTCAATGATACTGGCTTGCTGTCCAGGAACTAACGTTAAGTAGCCAGAACAGATTCACTTCAACGGGTTACAGGCATCATATAGGTAGTTTGAATAGGATTCGGGACCAAATTGTCATAATATTTTGAAGACTTCATACAAAAGCATTTCATTATAATGGAATAATGAATGGCCATTTCGATTAAGTTGCCCGATCGCCACCCAGGATATCAAGAAGGACGTCCAGCAGGGTGTGGAATCGGTACCTGGATCGGCCTTGGGGGGTATTTAAGTAATGTATTAGTTTCACATGAACCATAGGCTAAACTCCTTAAAGGGGGATTATAGGGTATTATATAGGGGACTATTATAGGGGTTATTAAGGGGGATACTAGGAGTTTTCACAGTAGCTCACATGAGGACCCTATATACCTAAGATTTTTCAAAGGGCCCTAAGCCCTTAAGCCGAAACTCTAAACCTTAAACCTATAAAGGCCAACCCAAGGTACTTGGTGGGCACAACCATACCAATCGCAGCTTCCGAAGCTCCAGGACCCCAGGAAGTGCCTTGGAATGAGAAGAGTAGAATTTCATTAGAGTTTAGGGTTTCGGGTTTAGGGTTTAGGGGGTACGATGGCACCAATTTAGAGTAAGATTTTATCCTCCGTTTGGGTATCGTATTTTATAGGAAGAACACAATCTTACTTGGTTCAACCACCAAAAAGGGCTGCCCAGAAGGCCTTGGGTTTTAGCACCTTGTACTATGATTTCCATTTTTGGACCTGATAGTGCAACTACATTTTTGGACCTTATAGTATACGCCCTTATGTGGAACTCCAGTTGTTGGTCCTTTTCATGCAATTCCTTGTATGGAAGTCCAGTTTTTAGACCTTTTAATATACATCTTTATTTGAAGCTCCAGTTTTTGGACCTCATAGTATACTTCCTTTTACGGAACTCCATTTTTTGCGTTATGGTATCCTTCCTGACATGGAACTCCAGTGTTGGGACCTTGTAGTATAATTCCTTATATGGAATCCAAAAACTGAAGGTCTTTTGCTTCCGAGGTAGTCCTGTCCAGTCGTCCGTGAAGATGAACTCCAACGCGCTTGCGCAGGTGGCTTCCATTCCTCTGGATGCCACATCGTGGTCGGGAGGTGTCCGTCTGTTGATGGCTGTGTCTCCGGTGGCCTCCAGTGGTGGCATTCTGCCGGCACAGAAGCTGCTGGGATGCTGTTAAGGAACTGAAACTAAGTGACTATTATAATGAAACCCGTTCATGAGCAGTATACCCATACCACGGTAAGTTAATTTCGAACCCATAACAGTCACCCAGGCTGGTGGTTGACACAGGCTCTTCCACCCTTGCCTTCTGTCAGAGCAGCTTCCTCCAAGAGGCAGCCTACAAGCCCACAAATTACATCTCTTGCAACCAGTACAACCCGGGCGGTGATGCTACAGGATACTGGGGCCCTTTTGTGGTGGGACAGATCCAGGCTGGCAACGTGACCTTCTCACAGGCCTCCTACAGCATCATGGAGCAGGAGCAGAACATGCCTTGCAAGGATGGCATCCAAGGAATCTTTGGCATCGCGTTCCGCCAGTTGGACGCTGCTTGGCCGCCAAGGGCAAGTCTGATCATGCAGGCTTTGATGTGATCACAAGCCAGCATGGAGCCTTCATGCTCACTGCGTGCAGAGGGTGCTCACACACTTTCGCAGTGGCTGACATCAGAGATGGCGCTGGCATAAAATCTAAATGACACCCAATAGTTGTACACGATGATGCCTTGTGTGTTGTGACATGAGCCAAAATTTGCACAGGCCTGCAATGACCGGTGGGCTCTACGGTGGATACTTAAAGATCCTGCCTGACCCTCGGTATCCTAGACCTTGGGAATTATTGTATGAGAGTAGATCAACAGCAAGTATTCGACCAATCTTCAGTCTCCTTGTGATGCCGAGCAGTCTTGTTCCTGCCCGCCAGACATTGTTGGGCACACCTTGCAGGCTCAGTAATAGGATTCCAAACGTCAAATTTGGCCATCGCAGCCTACTCTCCGGTTGAATGACGCATTTCCCTACCATGCTTTTTGCTCAATTACTTCCAGTTGTTACAAGGGGGTTCAGCTTTTCATACTACAGGAACGCACTTGATTTAGGGGTTCTCGAAATTGGGCGGAATCCTCATATACCCCAATACTTGATGTTCCATAGTATGGGGACACGCAAAAAGGGATCCGATATTTTTGGAAATCTCCATTTATCACGGAGGCCCACGCCTTCCTGTGAAACTCTGGGCCCTGATGCCCCAAGACGACTTAGCAGTGCTTAGGGACATGTAGGGGAGCGAATGTAGGTACCGAATACAAGCTTTTCCCTCCTTCTCCTTGAGCACCAGCAAGGAAACCCTCAAGCCCCATGAAATTCTCTACTATACATTTTAGGGACACCGGCAAGACGAGGTAGGATTTTCCGTTTGGTTCTCTACCCTGAACCCTAAACCCTCAACTGTTTGCGACGTTTTGGGACACCAACAAGACGAGGTTGGATTCCCGGCAGAGCAGAAGCCAAATTGGCTTGAGGGGGGCCCCTCTGCTTCGTGCCCGGATGCAGCTGGGGTGGTACCACCTCCACTGATGCAGAACTTGCGGGCACACGGTGGGCTCTTGCAGGGCTTTTGCATGGTAAGTAGTACTGAGGCTCGCGAGGTGCAGAATCCATGGAAGATGAATCTCAAAGCTAGGCGTGAGCCCGGCTGAATGGGTAACAACAGGGTTACCCCATTGTGTCTTGATAGACCTCGTCCCAGGTGGCGTGGAGAAGCTCGGCATCTATTGGTCCGGGCAGTTGGGCGAGAACCAGGGCCGGCTCTATCTGGACCAGGATGCGGTGCTGAACGAGCTCCCTGTCAATCTTTGTTTATGCATATTTGGGCTTGATTGTGCTGACGATGAGGAAAAGACGATCATGATTTCCAAGTTCATGATACTCAAGGTACTGTCGTCGTCATTATCATCAACATCATCATCAGCATCACCACACTTCCGCCCCCCGCCCTCGCCCCTGCCCCCGCTCCCGCCACCGGCACCACCGCGACCATCATCATCTGCTTCATCATCAGCATATCACCGTGGAAGGCGCCAGCACCATTACCACCACAGTCGCAACCACATCTGCCTCATCAACATTGTCATCATTGCATACATCATCAGAGTCACCAGCGTCACTGCCATCTTTGCCGCGCCCGTGCTGCTTGCATAAATGATGCCCGGAACCCGGAGCCCCGGCCGTTCTTTCCCTTGAAGCTCTCGGATGTCTGAGGCACTACGACGAGTCCCGCATTGTGGGCCCTGCAGTCCTCGGAGAGATAGGCTGGTACGACATAAACGTTCAGAAGATCAGCTTGGGCGGTGAGGAGTTCTCAAACTTCAACTGTAACCCTAGTCAGCCGGGCCAGCAGTGCATCATGGATACTTGGCTTAGGACCTTTTTGGGGTGTTCATGTATATATAACCCCACCAAAAGTGATTCAGAGGTTAGCCGTTTGTGGGCCAGGAAGCTCAGGAGCTAGGCTAGGGTGTTCTTTAGCATGCTGTTGGGCGTCTGCAGGGTGTAGGCTTTCGGATTAAGCACCATGACTCGACAGAGTGGTTTTTGCACCGATCTAGCTGGTTTTAAAAACAATGGAAGTTACTTCATTTTCGGGGACATTCGGGGTGTTCTGTGTCTGGGGGTTATATAAATCTAAGCGGGGCTTGTATAGGATTCCATGTCTGCATTCTTAAATAATACCACATAGGCCCAACTAGACCGTAAATTCCGCATTTGCTACTAGTAACCGTGCACCCTAGACCCTGAATGGTGGGTTCCATGTCATTTTCCCTATGTTACTCATCCCCTACACGAGTACTAAACCCCCCCACACACCTAACAAGATTAGGGAGGTTGGAGGGGTTTAGAATGAGGGGGAGTTAGGGCTTAGGGTTTAGGGTTTAGGGTTTAGGTTGGGTACTGCCCACCCTCACTAACAGTTGGATAATAGAATATGGTTGTATATAGCCCTTAACGGGACCCCTAATATAGACTGGGGTGGGGGCAGTACCCAAGGTTTTGGGGGATTAACAACCGCAGTTCCCATTGGCTCCAAGGACACAGGGACCCCAGCTTTGGTACTGCCACCGCAGGTCTTCGAGTATGCGAGCCAGCTCATTGACATGGGAGACCTACCGGTTGTTAGAAGCTACTGTAGGTATAATTAGGTCCCTTTACGGGGATATATAGAGTTATGTAGGGATACGTAGGGTTTAGGGTTCAGGGTTCATGTACCCAATAATTAGGTACTTGGGTTTGGGGTAATAGTAATTATAGTACAGGTTTTGGGTACGTATATGATTCTTACGTACTTGGACCCTTAGGGTACTGTAGGTATCAGGGTTCAGGGTTTAGGTGGATGGAGGAGATCTTGCAACCACCTTCTATACCCTCTCTGACCCAATAATTGCAAGATTTCCTGCATCTACCATACGAAGGCTTGGGGCTTGCAGCAGGGAAGCTACCGTAGGTTTAGGGCTTGGGGTTTGTAATGGGAAAATTGAGGAATAGACAAGAACACGGAAGCTCCAAGAGGGTTTTATGGGTTTCTTAGTAGGGATTGCAAGAAGAGATCTCTGTCATTAGTAGCCGCCCCTGTATCCGTTCCAATGTGGTAGCTTGCAGGTGTCTTTTGCGTCGCTTACTTCTCAACGAACAAACCCTAAACCCTAAGCCCTAAACCCTGAACCCTCAACAATAAAACCCTAAACCCTAGACCATAAACCGTAAGCCCTAAACCCTAAACCCTCAACAATAAAGCCCTAAACCCTAAACCCTTAACCCTAAACCATGACCCCTAAACCCTACAACCTAAACTACTAAGAACCAGCAAGGAGAGCCAGCAACATTATCCTTCTGGCTTCCCGGAACCTCGGGGGAGAATGTGCCAGTGTCCTTTGACTTGAACATCCTGAGCCTGTGTTCCTGTTGAACAACATTTTAGATTTTAGGGGTTTAGGGTTTAGGTTTTTAGGATTTAGGTTTTTTAGGGTTTAGGTTTTTAGGGTTTAGGGTTTAGGGTGTAGGGAAGAACAAAGGAACAAGATGGCGGCGCTGTCCAAGGGGGGTACCTGGGCTGCTGTTAAGGACATTATGGTAAGTTACATAAAAGGGAACCCTACTACCTACTCTATCAGGATTAGTAAACAAACACGTTGTAAATATACACATATATATGTATACATATAATATGTAATCATATGATGCTAACTTCACTAACTTTATTTAAGTTCTTCACCAGCAGCCCCAGGTCAGGGAACTAACATTATCCTCGGACTGCCACTCTGGGCCTTCTACTACACCATCTTCGATATCAGTGGCCAGTCTGTGTCCTTCTTTCCGCAGAAGAATCAGCCAGCCGTTCCTTCGCCCCAGGAACCTGCAGCGTCTCCTGTTCCAGAGCCTCAGCCGGAGCCACTGCCGCAACCACAGGCAGAACCATGGCCTTTTGGGCCCTTTACAGGACCCGATCCCTGGACTCCCATCCCAGGCCACCAGCCAGGCTCATGGCCCGCGCCTCAAGGAAGCCCTTGGCCCAGCAATGATCCCCTGGGACCTTTTGGGATCATCTTTGAAGGAAAGCCTGCGAACTCCACGGGCAAGAACACTTCCTCAAGTGGAGCAGCGCGGAGAATGCAAGAGCTTACGGTGCATGTGTGAGGAGGCCACGGCTTCATGGCTATCCCATGAAGATTTGCTTCAACGTGTGCTAGCCAGTGTACAGCCAGAGCAGCACTCTCTTTTGCCTGGCCTCAGGAATTCAAAGAAAGTATCTTACTGTCCAGATGGCGTCGCAAACTGCACAGGTCGAAAGCGCCAGAAACACGCAGATCATAAATTCCAATTCGGCTTTTACGAGTGGAAGCGCCGCACTTGCGAAGCAGCTTTCCAAATGAATCGTGTCGTATGTGTTGTGCAAGGTTCCTTTAGCTCCTCTACGACCTGCGAATAGCATGCAGTGCTCAGAAGTGGCAGGCATGTCTAGTAAAGCATGCAGGTGTAGACGTCAGCTGCTCATGCGAGCCCGGTACAAAGTGTTCCTGCCTCGTACCGCACACAGTGCAGAGAAGCTACCTTCACAGGATACCATCCCAATATTAACCCAATATTAACCCAACATTAACCCAATATTAACCCAATATCACCCCAATATTACCCCAATATCATCCCAATATTACCCCCCATATTTCCCCGAATGCGTGCAAGACTGATGGAGGAGACATCTCAGAAGAGCATGCACGCATTTAGCCTTCGCCTGGAGATCCAAGTCTAAAGGTAACTCTTAAAGCCTGCAAACCCAATCTATTTTGGGCCTAGCTAAAGTTTACAATTCATTAAGATGCATACTTTGGGCCCTAAAGTCTGCCAATGCTACCTACTTTCACCCCTACAGTCTACAAAGATCCATAGGGCTTTTGGAGCCAAAACCCTAAACCCTAATCATTAAACCATCATCCCTAAACCCTAATCCCTAAACCCTAATTCCTAAACCCTAATTCCTAATCCCTAAACCCTAAACCCTAAACCCTAAAGCCTAAACCGTACCTCACCGTGGCCGCTTCTGAGGTTTGGTGCCCAGGAGGTGCTGTCTCCACGTGCAGCAGATACAACGCTGCCATCCTTCTTGAGGACTACAGATTATGGGTTTAGGGTTTAGGGTTCAGGGTTTAGGGTTTAGGGTTTAGGGATTCGGGTCTGGGGTTTGGGGATTGGGCTTAGGGTATAGGGTCGCAGATAGTGGGTTTCTCAAAGCAAGACTGATGTGGGAGCCCTAGGGTTGTAGTTGGTCTTTAGGTAGATACAAGGTCCATTTTCCTAGCGGCTCTTTGGAGTTATGGAGAGAAATGGTCAAGCCATGCCCCTGTTACAATGTCTGTCTTTGCACAATGATCTTGTGATATCTTCTGAACTTGGAGGGCATTTGCGGAGACTCTAATTGATGCATGTCCTGCAAGGGGGGGAGCCAGTGCTGTCTGGGCTGAGAATGTACGTTCGCTGTCGGGAACGTTTGCGTGGACATTGTTTGCGTGGACATTGGGCTTTCACAGGGTTAGCCTCTCGTAGGATAGGATTCGGAGGCAAAAGCACGGGCAGCACACAGTCGGTGCCATTCCGTGTTATTGCTGCGCTTCGTCTTGATGTACCCCAAACTAGACTCCAATTGTTATAGGTAAATAGGTTACTTCAGGTAAAGCTCTGAGCCATAAATTTGTTTTCTTGATACCTTGGTTACTCTAAGTACGGCCTGTAGGGTGCATGACAAGGTTAGCCTGTCCGTCCCGTTGCACTGATAGCACCAACTCAGATTCGCATTGTTCCTTGAACAAGCTTTACCCAGAACCCAATATCCCCAAATGAAGAAGCTTTCCCCAGATCATTTCAGGGTTCCCTAATATGATTTAAGGTATACTCCCTAGTTTGTGGATATTTGGCCCTCTGGGACAGAATGACTTCACATTCCGCCTGGGACTATCTATCCCCAGTGTCCCTTCATGCATCAAAATTCTCAGCACCACTTCCATCGTTCAGCTTGAAAACCACAAGCACAGTCACCCTCAGCCTCCTAAACTGGGATTCGTGTGCCCCTTTAGGGTATATTTGCTAGCTAAGGTCTATTGGGCGCTCTGAGTCTGCGTCGTGAAAACCAAACTCCTAAACTCGAACCTTAGAGGCTTAGGGTTTAACTTTAACATCCCAAAAAAGAAATTTCAAACCTTAGACCTTAAGCCCTAAACCCTAAAACCCTAGGTTGCAGACCCTAAACCTGAAATTCTACACCCTGAATCCCAACCCTCAATCCTAGACACGAAACGGAAAATCGAAAACCGGAATTCTAGACCCTAGGTCTTAAGCCTTACCTGAACCCCAAAAGTATGTAAGATAAATGTTTTTTGGTCTATATTTTGGTGTTTTGGTCCATTATTTTACTTACTTTTGGGGTTCGGGTAAACCTTAAAACCCTAGACTTCAAACCCTAAACCGTAAGTCCTGTAAACCCTCGACCCTCAACCTTAAACCTCGAGTTATAGACCTTAGATCCTACATCGTCAGCCCTATATGGGGATTTCATGACATCCACCAAGACCGGTCCCAAGAGCAGGGTTCCTATTGCAATACGGGTCCCTCTACAGATTCCCCTCCTTGTTGGGAACAATAATTCAGGCCAAGCGCCATGTAAATTCAAATCTTATGCCTTGAGCCCTAAACCCTAAACTCTAAAACCCTTAAACCATAAACCCTGAAATCCTAAGCCCTAAACCCTAAAACCCTAAACCTTAAAGTCCTAAATCCTAAGCCCTAAAACCCTAAACTCTGAGAAACCCTTTAAGCCATACAATCCTCATAACCCTTTAAACCCTATAAACCCTAAACCCGTTTGAGGATCCCTGAGGCGGACGGCAGTGACTTACCCGATGGTCCGAGGTCAACGCGGGAAGCCTGGAGTCGAAGATTCTTAAGCGGTTTAAGATTTAGGTTTTACCTGGAAAGCCTAGTTACCCATAATAATGGGCTACTTTAACCCAAAGTAGTAGGAAATTAGGGGAAAGTTGCCTATAATTATGGGTAACTGGCTTTCTAGGTAGGGATTAGGGGAGGGGGGTGGGGGGGCTTCGGGTTTGGAGTTCTTAGGGCTCAAGTTGTAGTATCTAGGGCTTATGCGGTTCGGAGGAGTTTTGGGATTCGGGTTTTCGACGTTATTAGGCTTTAGGATTTAGGAATTACGGTATGAAATTCAGGATTGTCGGTCCAAGGTCTATACGGCTTCAGGTACAGAATCGGCCCAGGGAAGTACCATCATGCTCTGGACTTGTTGATGAAGCAGTGAATCAAATTTGTATGGTTCCCTAAGGGTCCAAGGACCCAAATAATAGGGTTTTAGGGCCCAAATACCATTAATATTATAGTATTTGGGTCCTAAAACCCCGTTATTTGGGTCCTTCGACCCTTAGGGGTTTACTCAACCGTTCATTTCAAGAAGGATGTGTGCAATGTGGAGCCTTTGGCAGACGATTTCCTGAAGGATACCAACCCAGTGGCACGTGCAACCAAAGTCAAACTTGCCCAAACAGACAACTTAAACTTCAATCCTGCAGCATACAGCTGTACAACACAGGCAAGAAACTTGGAGCATCATTATCCTCCCGTGAAAGGCCTAGGAAGATGGCAAAGCTGCATTAGTTGGTCTGTCTCTATGTTTCAAATCATCGGCGCGCACTGTCTTTGTACAGGTTTTGGGCTTCAGCTTTCTGGTCTTGACTGGGCCTCAGCGTGACCTACAACCTTGAACCCTGAACCGTCAATGCTGAATGTACAAACCCTAATCCCCGAGAAATTTCTACCCGTTTAGGGCTTCGGGTTTAACACTTTCAGACTGCACTTCCCAGGTTCTACCTGGATCGCGTGGGAAGCAGCTCAACTTCACTTCAGCATGCTCGGGGACCAGGTTTTAGGGCTTACGGAAGCCCATGCAGAATCTCATAATGGCGTCTGCTACAAGAGTCCTAGGTGTGTCGGACTTAGGGTTTACGGTGTATTCTTAGGGCAATTAGATTCGTCTCCACCCGAACAAGGAGGGGCAAGCGGATGACTTCCAAAACGGTAGCTGTCGTTTTTGTCAAGAGTCCCCAAAGTAATGATTGCAATACGTTCGGAAGATGAGAGGGATACAATTGTATGTTTTACCTCCCACGCAGACAATCAAGCCTCTTGATGCCCAAAGCAGTGAACAGTAACAGTCCAAGTACAACATAGTTGAGCATTGACGAGTACATGTATTGGGCGAGTCTATGATTGAGCACTTGGATCCTCACGGTATTGCAAATGCTTCCTAACCTGATGGGCTGGCAAGCCATGCCAGGGTACTGTAGCCAAACAACCAAAAATTGGTTGTTCCCTAACAGCCATACCATGGCAATTAGCATCCTGACCAGCAGTGGGTATTCAGCATCCTGCATGACCCTAAGTACGTTATACCCTTGGAGTCATGGGACCTCAGTATACTGACGCCATGCAAGGCTTTTGGTATCAACAGTAGTCCATGTGTTTGTGGTGGGCAACCATTTCAAACTGGTTGTCCGGATACCAACATAGAAGCATGACCAATCCCCCTGGCCACATTGAGAATTTGTGTGCCAAGTTGGTACTGTGTGTCCAAGAACCTCCCTTCCACAAGATTACCCAGATCGTATGAGTCATCCTGGTAGACTGTTAGCAAGTAAGTTTCAGGCATAGTAGGTGCCCAGTGGAATTGTTTAAGGCATAGACAAGACAGAAGCCCTTTGTAGGTAGTTTACTCGTCCCCCATCGGCCTTTTTTGCGCCGAGAAGCTGCAGAGGTCTCATGCGAGCTCTCATGGGTTCACTTTGGCAGCTATCCACCCATAAACTACCTGCAAAGTTCCATGACAGTGGCCGACTTTCCCCCAACTTCCTACCACTTTGCGGGGGCCCCTATACAGAATGGGATCCGCACATACCAAATTTTCCTCCCGTACATCATGATGCTATATTGAGAGGGGGGGTATTATCAGTATAGGGGCATATACCCCTATATATATTATATATCCTGATAATATGCCCCTACATATCCCTATATGCCCCTATGGAACCCCTGTGAGGGGACAAGGGGTTTATTATCAGGGAGAAGGATTACAAGGTCTT